GTGACAGAACTATGATAATATATGCCTTTCAGATTATTATAGTAATGGGAATATGGGATTTATTAACCTTAAATTATACCTAAGAGTACAGCTTAGGTCAATTTTCTTTGAGAACCTAATTTTTCCAATTATCAATCTCTGTAATTTTATGTTTGTTAATAAGACAAAATCAGACAATTATCAGGATATGGGTAGTGGTGTAGGGATGGAAGAGCACTTACAAGTACCATTTCTAACAGAGAAAGTTTTTGTCACTTAGGTAATTAATATCCATTTGCTAATATTCTATAAACAAACTTGTATACAGTCTTCATTCCCAGCAAGGCTTGCCAACTCTGCCTTGAAATTTGCGAGTCTCCAGAATCTTTAAAATTCAACTGCCAGATGGTAGGTAGTTTTCAACCACTGGGAATAAATGTGTATAGTCATTGGACACCATCTTGTGGTGATGTTTAGAAATGCATCTATTAGGAGTTGGATTAAGGAACAAAGCAATTCCTTATTCCTTACTGCAAAACAACAACCTACAAGGCTTTTCCTCCTGACTTCCCACCCCCCAAATCCTTTGATTTCTTCCCTAAATAAATTAAATGCATTATTTGAGGGAGACAAGGTGGTTGAGAGTTCGGGCTCTGGAATTAGACTACCTAGCTAGAAACTCAGATTTGCTATTTCTTATCTAGATAGTCTTGATTCTTTGGAATTAGGGAGACAGAAAATAAAAGAGATAAAAGGAAATCTAGGAGTTTGGTAGCTGACTAATAAATGTTCCAGAAAGAGACAACAAACAAATCAGAAGAAATAATTTAAGAAAATATTCTACACTTGAGATATAGATCTGCATATCAAAAAGGCTTAGTCAGTGCTAGTTAGGATGAATGAAAGAATATCTACAAAGAAGGCATAATTGCAACATTTCAGAACATCATGCATAAAGAGAAAATCATAAACACTTTCAAGGAACAAGAATTGAAATTTTGTTCATCTTTATCAGCAGCGCTGGATGGTAGAAGACAATAGACTTAAAAGTCCAGGAGAAAATGATTTTCAATCCTGTGTTCTATACCCAGCCAAACTATTAAGTGTGAAAGTAAAGTAATCTTAATACATCCAAGGATTTAGAAAGTTGAACTCACACACAGCTTTTCTGAGGCAGTTGCTTGAGTATGAGCACAATATAACAAAGCAGTTAACCAAAAAAGAAGCCAAAGAATCCAAGAATAGTAGATTCACTCAAGAAGCTTAATGAAAGGTAGTTCTGGATGACAGTTGTAGGACAGGCCTACAGTATGTTAGGAGGAGGATGGAAGGCTTAAGAAAGGAGGTAGCTATGAAGGGGGAATAAATAGGTGGTGTCTCCATGTATTTATTTTTGTCTCTGAAATATTGAATACACTTAAAGAAATTTAAGACTAAAAGAAAGGCAGCAAAACTTCAGGGAAAACAATACAGCTGCTCAAGAAAGAAAAGTGCTTCACTTGATTCAGTATTAAAGATATTTTTTCTTTCTGTCTAGCTCTCAAATCAGCCCATTCTCTGACTCTAGTAGTATCATCACTCTGGACTGAATTACCATCATTTTTTTGCCTAGACTCCTGTGGTAGCCTTTTTTTCAAACTGTGAATTTAATTATGTTCATTCCTTGATTAAATCACTGTAGTGTCTCCTCCTAGGCCTTAGAATAAAAGATCCAATCATTAACATCCCTACTAGGTCACGTGGTCAGTCAATTCCTAAGCAACAGTGGGATGGCAGTTGCTAGGTAGTCTTGTCTCACCTCCATAGAATTGGCTGGTTAAGGACACTAGAGACCTAAATGGACCTAGACAGTTTATTACTTATGTGGACAGCAAAATAAGATCAGCATGTTATCAGTTGCTTGCATTCCTAATCCCACAGGATAACACTGATCAGATAACACAATGGTGGATTGCTTTGTTTTTGAGGCATCAACTATAGGCTGCAGTTAAGTGGTTTTATAGCCTGCATCTGTACCTTGGAAGAGGCAAGGTGGAAGGACCAGTGCCTTACCGGAACCAGAGGCAGATGAGAAACTGCTTCATGGCAGTCTCATGCAAGCTAAGGAGGCAGATGAGAAATTTCTTTTAGCACCACCTCCCAAGACTAACTATCTTGACATGTCCCAAAGAGGTTCAGAGGGCATTCTATAAATAGTTAAGTCTTGATATGGCCTATATAGAGACATGGAATTACCAGGGTTCCATGGTGGAGCCATTCTACAAATATAGCCTGGCAGTTCTCTACTAATCTCATCTTGTGTGCTCTCTCTTACTTGCTGAGTATTAATCACACTGACCTTCTTTCAATTTCTCCTATATGCCGTGCTTTCCCTTATAGAGCTTTTGCATATGCCATGCTCTCTTTTTCCTGCCTCCTTGCCTTCTTAATTCCCATTCTTTCTTTTGTCCTCAACTCAGTTGAGTTAGGGAAGTTAGGGAAGCCTTCCAAGACATTCCTACCTAGGATGGTGCCTCCAATTATCATATAGCATTGTGTTTCTCTCCTTCATAGGATTCTAAACAATTTTAATTTTATAGTTACTTGCATAATCCTCAAGTAATAATAGAGATAATGCATGCTCTAATATATTAGTTTATCACTTAATTTAGAAATGCCTTCACATACTTAATTTCATTTTATCTTTTCATCTCTATGAGGTGAACAAAACAGATATTGTTTTTAATCTGTTTTTTTACAGATAAGAGTCCATATTAAAACTTATGTTTTCTTATTTTAGTTTAAGGTGCCCTGTACCTCACCATGTGTTTCTCATGTGAATATATAAGGCAGCTTGCAGTGAGTAAAGAGAGACAAAGAAAATGCCATAGGGGCTCAAAGAAGAGAAAAATAACTTCAGATGGGGTGATAAGAATAGATCTCCATGGTAGAGGTACCATTTAAATTGGTCTTGAAAGTCGATAAGCTTCTGATAGACAAAGTGAGCGGCTTCTAAGACAAGAGGTAATATCAAAGTTATAGAATGTCTTGAGATGATTTGAATAATGGCAACCAAATATATTTTGATGAATTAGGATTAGTATTTAGGGTTCCAGAAAGGGAGGCTAGAATTACATTGTGGAGGACTTTAAATATGGAATTAATTTGCTGGCACAGGAAGTAACTAACATTTCTAGGTGGACAAATGATCTGACCAGAGTTGAACTTCAGGAGGACTAATTAAACAACAGCATGTATAATAAATTGTAATATGGTAGGACTTGACAAGGATACTAGGTAACTGAGAGATGAAATTTTGAACTGGGGCAAATCTTCTAACCAGTAATCCGTGGCAAACCTTGCAAAATATATTATTGAACCCTTTCATCTAAAGACCACTGGGAGCACACCTGTAGTTGAGGAAAGTTAAGTATTTTTGGACTTGTTACAGCAAAAGATCACAGCTCTGGTAGAGCTGTTGGTTATCTCAAGGGGTTGGGAAAAGATTATTTATAGGATTTTAGCTTGTGCTGGTGATTCTTAGCAGGGTTTAGGGAGAGCAGAGGTCAATTCTAGATTACATACTTTAAAAAAGGGAAGTATTAGGTATTTTGGTGTATTTTATCTTAGATATGGGAAGATTATGGAAATAGTAGTCATTTGTGTTAGCCAGAAGAGGGGGATGTTTAGTTATTTTTGTGGTTCTTGAGTGTCCTTGTCTCAAGTTTCAGAGATAATTACACAGTAGTCTTATTTCGATCTTTACTATAGTCACAGAATGGCCTTACCTGAGTATTGTTTATATTCTGCCAAAGTTGTTTATATTCACTTGGGAACACTGTGGTTCAGCCTGTCAGCTTCCAGCTGCCAGGGATGTTTCGTTACTTTATCACTACCCAATACATTGATCTGCTTGCCCCTTAAGGCATGTAGCCAGTTGCCTCATAGAGTGAGCAGCCTTATCCATTTACTCCAGGTGCTATACAAATATTATTATTATCTAAATGTGCCATGTCTTGAAAAGAGTTGTCTGAGTAACAGCACTGAAAAATGAAGAGTAAAGGACCAGAAAATGTTATAAAGGTTTTCAAAGCTCTTCAGTCCCTCCAACATTTCTAGTTCACTTAAAATCTATGCTCTAACAAAAGTCAAGTTATTTCTATTTCTAGTCTGTGGTTTGCTGTCTTTGAATATTATGCCCTCTACCTGGACCATCTTCCCCTGGTCCCCTTCTCGTGTCCAGATCCTATCGTCAGTTCAGATGTCTCTTCCTTCCCTCTTGTTTCTAAGATCAAGAAAAAGTCTACTTAAAATATTATAAATGAAGAATAAATTATATATTTGGATGTTCTAGCTTGGGGGGTCAAGCTGGAAGCAATCTTTTTCCTGTGAATTCCTACAGAAAATTTCTTATACCCCCAAAACACATATTTCTAACATTTATTAAATATGTATGATGTCCTAAGTACTAGAAACTATCATTGATACCATCAAAATGCTGTTATGTTTGCTTCTTTCCAGGTTCTACTTTAAGTGTAAGTATAAAGCAGCAGAGAAGTTTCTTATTCTTACCTCATTCAAGATAAGAGCTACTTATATTCCTGGGTGCCTGGGTGGCTCAGATGGTTGAGTCTTCCTTCACCTCAGGTCATAATCCTGGGGTTTTGGGATTGAGTCTCGTATCAGGCTTCCTGCTCAGCGTGGAGTCTATTTCTCCCTCTGCCTTTCTCACTCTCTCTCTGTCTCTTGTGAATAAATAAATAAAATCTTTAAAAAAAGACTTACTGATATTCTGTGGTAATTGGCTCTGTTTATGTCAGGGAGGTAAAGAGAAGCTTATAGGTGTGTTGACGCTCCTTGTGAGGAGCTGCGATTGGGTTAATAACCCGGCAGGGACTAGCTGTTGTCAGAAGTATCATTTTAAAAATTACATATAAAATGGGCTAACATTTTGAAAAACTGTGAAAATCGAACTTTTTGTACTCTATAAAAGGAAATGAAGTACAGTAAAAAATAGGTTTGTTTTTCTTATATTAATTTAGGAATGACTGCTTGCAAAAAACCTGGGAATCGAGAATGTAATCATCACTGTAAAAATAAACATACATGTGGACATGACTGCTGTGAGTTCCATAAAAGAAGTTTATTTCAGGTTTTAAAAATTGAACGGCCTTTGAATAGTAATGACATCCTAATTGCCTATGTATGATATTTATATTCTGTAGTTTATAACTCAAATAATTTTCTTTCTTTGTGGATAACATGAAAAAAGTTAGATTAGAAATTATGGAGATCTACCCCCAAAACTAATAATACTGTATGTTAAGTTAATTGAATTTAAATAAAAAAATTTTTAGAAAAAGAAATTATGAATAAATTTGGCTTTACATGAACATTACCTAAAGTTTAACCTAAAGAATTGAGAATTTCTTTCCTTAGGTAAAACTGGAGTTGCACAGAGGTCAGAGATGAAAGAGCCAACAATCTCTTCATATTTATCTGATTTAAGAAACAGGAATGCTGTTTTATCACTTCCTCCTGTTAAACGTCTCAAGGTTAGTTTTAATAACATTTAGCCCTTGTTTTGTAATTTAAGGTATATGAATATTCTTTTATTCTATGTATCAGTTAGGTAGGTATCTGAAGTATACTTTAGTTACTTGAGGGCTTGCCTAGGAGTATGGCCATTTTTCAAAATACTGGTTCTAAAGGAAAGATATTATAGTTCTTTCTTTTTTTTAATTTTATTTGTTTATTTAAGAGAGAGGAGGTACTAAGAGAGAGCACAACCAGGGGGAGGGGCAGAGGCAGAGGGAGAAGCAGACTCCCTCCTGAACAGGGAGCCCAATACGGGGCTCAATCCCAGGACCCTGGGATCATGACCTGAGCTGAAAGCAGCTGCTTGACCAACCAAGTCACCCAGGTGCTCCAAAATATTGTAGTTCTTAATAATTAGTCTGTAAATCTACTTTTGGGACATAGTTCTACAACCCCTTATTAGTTTTTTGGTTTTTGTTTTGTTTTTTTTTTAAACCAAAGAAGAAGGAAATGGTGAGGGATATGTAGTTTGGCTTAGTTCGGCAATTAAAACTAGACACACTTGCTCTTTCCTGGTTCTGTCTGTGCTGGAATGGTATGGAAAGTCTGAAGTTGATTTTGATTCATGTAGCTATATGAGTACGGAGCAAGAGCCTTCTTTCCAAGTCCTGAAAGAATGGTTGTTCCTACTGGTTGATAGGCTGGTCACTAGCAGACTTATTCTAAGCCTACCTCATCATGTTCAGGGCAAAATAATTGATCAGGCCACGGAAAAGAGGTAAGAAAAGCCCTTTTCTAGAGCTTTAATAAGAATGAAGATTTTAAGTCATGAGGCTAAAATAAGGGGAATACTGGGAAATGGAGAGGCATGCATGTCGAAACAGCCACCACCTTCTCAGAGATACTAATTTTTTAGTAGCCCAAGTTTTTCCTCCCTCTCCCTTCTTTCCTTCCTTTCTTTTATCCTTTTTTCCTTCTTTCCTTCTCCATTCCATATTATTCCCTCTTTCCTTCCATATTCATTTTTTTTTAAAGTTTATTTAACTGGGGCATCTGGGTGATCTGCTAAGTGTCTGACTCTTAATTTTGGCTAAGGTCATAATCTCAGGGTTGAGATGGAGCCCCTTGTTGGGCTTCACACTGGTTGAAGAGCCTGCTTAAGATTATATCTCTCCCTCACTCTATGCCCTTTCCCTCCCTTTCTCTTTTCCTCTCTTACTTTTTTTTTTTTTTTTAATATTTATTTGACAGAGAGAGAGAGCAAAAGCAGAAGGAGCAGCAGGCAGAGGGAGAGGGAGAAATAGGCTACCCGCAGAACAGGGAGCCAGATGTGGGGCTTGATCCCAGGACCCTGGGATCATGATCTGAGCCAAAGACAAATGCCCAACTGACTAAGCCACCCTGGTGCCCCTCTCTCCCTCTCTCAAAAAAGAAAGTTATTATTTTTAGTAATCTGTACACTCAAAGTAGGGCTCAAACTCACAACCCTGAGATCAGAAGTCTCGCACTCTTCCAACTGAGTCAGCTGGGTGCCTTCCTTCCACATTCATTGAGCACCAACAATATGCTAAGTACTGTGACAGGTGCTAAGATACAGCAGTGAATAAGACAGTTTTAGTCCCAGTCCTCATAGAGCTTATAATTGAGTAAAGGATAAATAACTAAATAGGCTTTTTCGGTGATAGAGAATTCTGTGACAGAGGTGTAAGATAACTTGAAATTGAATACAAAGTGTACTCAGTCCAGATTTGATAGGCCAGGAGAGGATTCCAAATAAATATGACTGAGACTTGAAGAATATCTAGGCATAAGTCATAAATGGAGAGATAGGCACCAGAGTGGTGGTGGAGAAGGATAGAAGAGTATTCCAGACATAGGAAATATGAAGTGGTCCAGCACTGAGAAAGAGAGACATCTTTTAAAACATTGAAGTTATACAGTGTGTCTGGAGTTCAATCACAAGTAAGGAAATAGTGAGAGATGAGGCTGAAGAGGTAAGTAAGAGCTAGATAATGAAGGTATTTTTGCTATTTTAAAGATTTGGACCTTATCGTGAAAGTACTGGGAAGGCACTGAAGAGTTTTAATGAGTGACATGATCAGAATTGCATTTTCTAAATTTCACTATGGTTGCAATGTAGAGAATGGATTAGAGGATGATAGAAAAGGAACATAGGGACTCATTAGGTGGGTTTTGCAATAATCCAGGCAAGATAATGGTTTAGTTTAATAGTAGCAGTAGCAGTAGAAAGAAGTGGCTAGGTTTAAGACATTTTTCAGAGATAGAATCAACTACCCTGGTATTTAATTGCTTATGACAGATGAAGTAAAAGGAATAAATATGATGACCAGCTTTCTTGATTGAGCAAGTAGGAAAAAAGTGGAGGGCTCACCAGGGTGGAAACTCCAAAGGAAAAGCAAGTATGGAGAAGTAAATACACAGTAAATTCAATCTGGAAAACACTAAATTTCGAAGCTTGCAAGATATCTAGGTAAAGATGTTCTACAGAAAGTTGGATTAACTCTTCAAAAATCAGGGAAAGGAGCTGAGTTAGAAATATATATTTTGAGAGTCATTCACTTGTAGATGATAATTGAAGCCATGGAAGTAAATTAGATCTTTGAAAATGTGTAAAGAGAGAGGAGAAGAAGGAGGCCTAGTAAAGAACCTGAAGAATATCAACATTTAAGAAGTTCCTGAGAAGATTTGATTTGAGAACTAGCCTGAGTTTCTCATAATCCATTGGTTTTGGGACTTTGTATACCAGCAAGAGTTTTGCTGTTTGGCTTATTTGTTAAAAAGTGTTGCTGTGAAATTGACAGTTGAACTTTTTTTTTTTCATTAATAGATGCAAATGAATAAGTCTCAAAGTGTGGACCTTAAAGAATTTTGTTTTACTCCAAAACCTTCTCTCCCCAGTATATCAAGGTACAAATATAATGTTAATATCCAAGGTAGAATAATCATCAGAAACTCTTTGCTTCTCCAAATAATCATTTATTCAGGGAAAGGTGAACACTAACTACATTCAAATCATAGTAATCATTTAGTTCCATAATGAAGTAATGACATCATAAGAGTTTGGTTATCTAAATTTTAGAACTCTGCAGTTAGAGAATACTTTAAAATTCATTGAATCATCTCTTTCCTGGGAAACTATCCTTCCTATATGTCATGCCCTCAGGCCTTCTCTGCTTTCTAAATTTAACAGGTCACAAAAGTATACTTTTTTTTTTTTTTTTTTTTTTTAGTTTGACAGAGATCACAAGTTGGCAGAGAGGCAGACAGAGAGAGAAGGAAGCAGGCTCCCTGCCAAGCAGAGAGCCTGATGCGGGGCTCGATCCCAAGGACCCCCAGGACCCTGGGATCATGACCTGAGCTGAAGGCTTTAACCAACTGAGCCACTCAGGCGTTCCACAAAAGTATACTTTAAAAAGAAAAATCATGTTGCTGTACAAAGTATAATCTTTTATATTTAGGGGCCCACTCTATATTAATAACACTTAATATTTATAGAATAATTTAAATTTTAAAATTGCACATTTTGTATTATCTCTTTTGGCCTTAACCACGTCCTGCCTCATAAAATGAGGTATTTCTGTCCTATTTTATAGATAAAATAACCGCAGTTCATATTCCTAGTTATTAAGCAGAAGGCTCTAGATGATTACTCAGCATTCTTTTCCTGTATCATGATGGCTAGAAGGCAGTAGTATATGTCATTTCCCTTCCAGATAAGGGTATTCTATATGCAAGGATGACATTTACTATCCTTAATAAACAGTAGAGAACAGCCACTGACCAATCAGAACAGATGCCAACACTACTTCTAGAGATCCTAGCTTTTATTATCTAATTGAAAGTTGCATTAGCAATAGATTTTTAAGGCTATACACAGATGGCAGATATCTACATATCTGGGTCATGAAAGATGACTAAGTATCTTCCAATAAACACCTATTTTTTACTCTTTAATACCCAGGCTAATGCAGCTTATCATAGAAGTGTTGAGAAGATCAACCATTTTTTTTTATTTATATGCATAATTGGTTTTCAAGTTCAGATTAATTTTAATATTTAACATTTTATGGTTTTATTTATCTTTATAAAGGTCAGAGTGTTTAAACATACCTGAATTGTCTATAATGGAGCAGAGGGATCAACATGAAATCTGTGTGGAAGTTCAAGAAGAACCATCAGAATATCAAGGTAAAGGTGAATTACCATTGTTATTACCTTGAAAGAGAAGATGGTTTATCATTACTTCAGAATGACAATGTTACTGAAAAACCAACATCTGAGATTACTATGATTATTAAGTTACAACATTTTTCTCTTGGGTTATTGGTCCAATTTCAAATTCTTAAGTCTGTTGTTTCAGATGGACTTGCTATGTTTGTTATAGATTTTTTTTTAGAAGTCTCTTCTCTACGTTGTGTTGACTATTTTTATTTAAAGATAATATGAGGAAAAACTGAGAAAATAAGAGACCTCAAGATACACAAAGTATTAAAATGCTGAACTATTACTTTTATACGTCTTTAAAATTATTTAAAATAATATTATGTTTATAAAATTAGTCCAGTTTTATAAAATAGCTGTGTGAACTTGGAAAAATTATTTAACTTCTTTAGGTCTTGGTCTTATCTTTAAAATTAGGGGGTTAATTTAGGTAAACTTTAATACCTCTCCAGTTTCTAAACCTAAGATTCTTACAGTTTCTCTGATAATATGAGAATATAACTTAATTTGTGTGCTATAGCTCATATGTAATCTAGATTTGCTTTTTTTCTGTGTCAGTCATGAAATTAATGAGATAAAGCATATAGTTCTTCAACACTGGGACCAATTCATCATTACTCTGGATCCTGTAATTAATAGCATCATTTGTCTGGGTCATGCCATTAATAACCAGTCTGTTAAAATGTGTGAGAAATAATCCTGGCCATAGAATTGTTTGTTTCTATTGATATATGTAGAAATGGTAAACTTGAGGTTTTCCACAAATAATTTCATGTGTGTGACCATAGCATCTATTGATATTCTTTCCTTCATTCTGTCACTTTATGCTTCCTCTAGCCATAATTTAAGATCTTAAGTAGGCAAGGGCTGGAGTGCCCACCACCTCTTTGACCCAAATAAAAATAAGAAAAGTCCCCCAGTCTCAGAGCATCAGAGCATTAATCCAACTTGCTCAAAGTCTAGTATCATTACAGTGTGGGGAGAAGTGTTACATTGTCGGCTTCTTAATTTTTATCTCTCTTCAACCTATAGCCCTCTAACTTATTCTTTGTTCTGCTGCTCTGTTCCCTGCCCTTCTACATACCACAGTTTATTCCTCTGATTACTTTCAAGCTGGTTTTTTTTTTAAGATTTTATTTATTTGAGAGAGAGAAACAGAGATAGGGAGAGAGAGCACAAGTGGGGAGGAGAGATGCAGGCTCCCTACTGAGCAGGGAGCCCAATAGGGAGCTTAATACAGGGGTCAATGCAGGGCTTGATCCCAGTACCCTGGGATCATGACCTGAGCTGAAGGTAGACCTTAACCAACTGAGCCACCCAGGAACCCCCTTTGATGCTGTTTTTGCAGTTTTCCTACTTTTCTTTCTTTCCTATCCCCTATTCCAAATCCAATTATATTATATTAAAGTCTCATCTAGATACTTTAACCCCCAATAATAATTGTATTCATGTTTTACTAAAAATGGGCCACATTTTTTTTTTTTTTTAAAGAAGAAGAAGCTGTGTAGTGTAGTAGTTAAATTCACAGGATCTAGAATAATCTGTTTGGGATGCCTAGCTGGCTCAATTAGTAAAGCATGTGACTCTTGATCTTGGGGTTATGAGTTTGAGACCCATGTTGGGCTGGGAGGTTACTAAAAGAAAAGTGCTTAGAATAATCTGTCTAGGTTCAAATTCTACCATTTAGTAGTTTTGTCACTTTTTATAATGTACTACCCACTTTATCTCAATTCCCTCATCTGCTTATGTTTTAGGGATTTAGTATTAAATGAGATAATATTCATAAAGCTCTTAACATAGTATTTGTACCATTATTAGTAGTAATTGAGTATATTCATTATACTTTTCACAATTAGTTTTTGGTGGCAAAACATACTTTATTTGTATTCAAATATTGCTCTAGAGAATGTTTTAAGAAAAACATGCCAATTTTTGTCATCTGTACTCCAGTTTCAAGAAAGGAGAAGGAAAAATATCAGAAATTATATCAGAAAGTATGTTGAATCATAAAATTTAAATTGTAAGGGACCGTTATGCAATTTTATAGTGAAAGAAACCAAGACTCTGAGAGATTAAATGCCTCGCCCAAAATCACATATCTAATTAGTGGCAAGGACAGAAATAGATTCTATATCTTTTGATTCCCAGTTCAGTGCCATTTCTATAAAATGAAATTGACTTTTAGTTGTCAGTGGAGAATTGAAAATCGAACCTATATAAACTCTTTCAACTTTCTACCCTGCAACTGTGTATTTCTATCTCTGTATCATCCTTAACTTTGTTTTTAAAGAAGATTTCTCTTTTCTTCTACTCAAGGTTTCTCTCCACCTACAGTTTTAAAATTTCTAATCCTGCCTCCCTTGGGGCTTTAGGAGACCAGTTACCCCTCTCTTTTCTAAATTTTTAATCTCTCCTCCTTATTTGTCTTCACCATATAAATATGCTCAAATCTCTTCCTTCTTCAGCTCCCTATCCTCATCAAGCTAGTCATGACTATTCTCATTATAAGTGACAGAAATTCTACTCGAAGTGACTTAATCACAAAAAAAATAGGAGACCATTCATGTAAACTTGTAAGTCCAGACATGCATCTGGCTTTAATTTTGCTAGATCCAGGCACTCAAATAATTTTGGTCGTGCCTCTGGCTTTCTCTCAGTTTTTTAGCTATGCCTGTTGCTAATTGGCTTTATTTTTTTCAAAAGGCTTTTTCACATGGCAGGTAGCCCCTAACTCACATCTTCCTAGTTGAACAGTCTCAGTGGAAAAACAGCCTTCCCTGTTAGGTTTGGCAGAGCAGAGTTCATTCTAGTTCATAGTTGAGTCTTGTATTCATCCCGCCATCAAACCCTGTAGCCTGGGGATTGGGTCATTCATTCCTCTGCTGTAGCCCTTGGGACCAGGGTACCATAAATGACATCCTCACCAGGATTACATGGAATGTGTGGAGGCAGTTTCACCAAAGGACAGGAAAGATGCTCCTATTAAAAGAAGGGGAAGTATGTCAGGCAAAGAACGGAATCACCAAAGTCTTTATATACTTTAATGTCTTGCTTTCCCATCAAACAGAAATTCTTCAAAGGGCGAGTTATACTCACTGTGCTTATTTCCTTACCTCCTAGTCATTTTTTCATTCACCTAAATTTGGGTTCTCTACTCCTTTGAAACTGCTTTTGCTTAGACCATTTAGTGATCTCCTAAGTGCTGAATTCAGTGAACTCTTCAACTTATATTTTCTTTGACCTTTGTTGTGTTTGACACATCTGGTATTTCCCTTCTTTCGGAAATCTCTCCTTTGATTTCAATTAAACTATTCTGTTGGTTCTACTACTACTTCTTGAACTGCTTAGGCTTTTTCTCCTGTTGATGTTGCAAAGGATTCTTTTTTACTTTTTTATTCGTCTTACTTCATAAACTTTTCTTTTATAGTGTCACCCAAGTCCATGTCTACAACTACTAACTATATTCAGATGATTTCTACATCTGCATTTGCCATCTCTTTCTTTCTATCTGGCCTTGACCCAACTATACAGTCATCTTTCTGGATATAGCTACCTAATAGTTAACATAGCTGCATCTGAACTCTTTCTATCTTCTCTGTACCTCATACTGCTCCTTTTCTTTTCTCCTTAGGTCAGTGAATGAACCCTCTTCTTTTCCAAGCTACTAAAGGCAGGAAAAGATTCATCTTAAATACCTTAACTTACCTGCAAGTAATTGCCAAGTCCTATCTGTTTTGCCTCCTAAACATCTCTCATATCTGTTCTTCTCTGTCCTTTCTGCTGATACTCTAGCTCAGACATTCATTGTTTCTCATTTATTACAATAGCTTTCTTTTCTTCCAGTCTCATTATCATCCCATTCATAACTATTCCAGGGAATCTAATAGGTATCTCTGATCATGTAAACCTCTTGCTAAAATATCTTCAGTAGTTACCCATTGCCTATAAAGGGGGAAAAAGTGAATTCTTCAACATAGAAAATAAGCATCAGCATAATCTGGCATTTAACTTCCTGTCAGGCTAAGTGGGCCCTTCTTCTCCTACTTTGTGATCCAGAAATCCTGAATACATATAGTTCTCAAACATTCTCTGGTCTCCCATACTCCCATGTCTTTCACATACTGTGCTCCCCTCATGGAGTATCTTGCCTTCCCCCTTCCCCTGCTCCATATTCACAGCTCTACCAAGCTCAAATTCCAATGTTATCTTCTTACCATTTTACCATCTTAGGGGCGTCCACTCTGACTTCCATTGTAGGTTTAGGTCCTGTTCCCTTTGCATTCCCATTACACTTTATATCTCTTTTATTTTTAATATATATATTTTGTGTGTATCAGTGAACAAAAGTGGAATAATATGAACTGGACTTGTAGGTACAATTGAAAGATAAAGTAGGATTTGGGTAGGTGAAGTAAAGTACTGAGAATATTTAAAATGAAGAAATCTTGGTGGTGCACTGGAGCAAGCTTGTGCTGGCTTGTGAGAGATTATTATTAAATTCTTGGGAATCTTTCAGCCATTATTAAAAGTTTAATTGTATAAACTTTCAAATAATTAAAAACAAAGACTGTAAATATTCAAAATTGATCACTTTCTATTATGTAGTAACATATTACTGTGTTCTTGAGAGTATTTCCTTTTTATTTATATCTATATGGTAGAAATACTATTTAATAGTGTGTTACTATGCATTTCTTCTGAACTACATTCAGAGATGTCACATTGGTAGCTTGAAATTAATCATAATGGGAATATTTATACCATGGAAATCAGTAAACACTGCATATTAGGACTTGATTTATTGCTTAGACTTATGAAAGTGATAGAAAAAATGTTAATAGTACAGAGTAAATTTTAACTGTGTTCTGTCTATAGCTATGACATTGTGAGTAGCACAAAAAGGTGAGGGAATATTCTTCTAGTATTTGAAAACTGTTGTCTAATTTAGCAAAGGAGTTGCCTAAGTCAACTGAATGAATGAGTCAAGTCCCAACATCCTTCTCTGTTATTTTGCTTTCACCTTAGTTGTTACAGTCAACAAAAATGTCAAGCAGCATTCATGTGAGAACTATATTCTTTTGTTAACTGCAACCATAAGTTGGCTACAGATATAAGAGTTTGGTAAAACTCAATGAAACATTCAGTGAAAATCAAATATATGAAATTTACAATTAAGCGGGCTATATATTTTATTACTATTTATAAATTGTGTGTTACATATCCTTTACCCGTAATAAATAAATATAATAAATATGTGTGTATGTATATATATATATGCATATATTTATATATATATTTATATATATTTATATATATATATATGCATACATTTGGAGAAGCAGTTATTAGACATTTGTTAGCACACTGCTATGGAAAACTGCAAAACTAAAGGCATTTATTGCCCCTAACAATTTTATGAAATAGATTCTATTATTATTCCCATTTCATAGAGGAGAAAACAAGGCTCAGAGACTTTAAATTACTTGTCTAAGATTATACAACTAGTAAGTGAGAGAAGTAGAATTTTCACCTATTAGTCTGGCCCTAAGCCCAGTCTATAAACAATGGATAACACTGAAGATTTTTTAGCAGGAGAAAAATTAAGATATATTTTGGAAGAACATATTTCATAATAACATTCAAGATTCACTTGTAGGAAAAAAGAGCTGGAGGAAGGAAGACCATTTTAGAAATTATAAAATTCAAAAAAAAAAAAAGAAATTATAAAATTCATTTTAGAGTAGGGTTATTCTCCTATAGGAATTAAGAGAGAAAATATAATTCTCTCTAAAAGAATCCATTGAAAATTAAATTTAATGCAACTATCAGTATTTGTAATAGTAAATAGAATTGGTTGAAAACAATATTCAACAATGCTTAACTCAATACTTTTGAAAACTACTATTCAAACTTCAGTTTAGTAGTTGAAAGATGTATTTGATATATCAGTGGGAAATTATGTTAATGATTTTAAAAGTACCTATACTCTTTTATACATACACATGACAGATTTCTCTAGATGGAACTATCCTATAACTTCAGATGAGAAAGCCCCTCAAACAGTGCTGTTCAACAGACATCTTAATGCATCTGGAAACCAGAATTTGAAAGATGTGGACAAAAGTAATACTCCATTCTCAAAAGTTTTGAATGTGAACTTTGAATTGGGAGATGAAGTTTGGGATGATTTTGATGATGAGAACTTATTAGAAGTTACCAGTTTTTCAGCCAGTACTGAGAAGACAAAAACATCAGGTAAAATTGTCTTTTAGCCTGAAATAATTTCATGAGAAATTCTTCGAATATTTTTCAATTCAGTTTCTGGGACTAATTTTCTTTGCCTTTTTTTAATGTTTGCTTAATTAGTTTTGTTTTTTTTAAGATTATAATTTTTAGCAAAACTGAAAATGTGACCCTTCCCTAAATCACATTTCCTCCTAAGGACAGAATTCAAGGTTATTCCGTGATAATGATACAGCACATGAGCTTTTTCTATTCTATTGCTCCCCTATCTTGTTAAAAACTCTATTTAAATAAAAAATGTTTATTGAATTTTCCCTCATAAAATAGACTATGTAGCTTTCAATTCTGTGATCACACATTTCCTAATGTTTGTGAAGGACAAAATTATTCCATTTTTTAAAAATGATTTTATTTATTTATTTGAAAGAGAAAGTAAGTGAGAGAATGCTCACATGTGTGAGCAAGAGAGGAGCAGAGGGAGAGGGACAACAGACTGCACTGAGCACAGAGCCCCACACAGGGTTTGATCCCATGACCTTGAGATTATGAGCTGAGCCAAAATCAAGAGTTGGATACCCAACTGACTGAGCCACCCAGGTGGCCCTAAAATTATTCAATTTATAAAAGTATTCATCTGCTATCCAGGAAAATGAAAGATACCTTTTATTTCTAGTAGACATACTGATTTTTTTCAGGTATAAATAAATAATAAGAAAGGATTAGTTTCTTCTGTACTAGATATTATATTTAAATCATTTACAACTCCAAAATAACGGGACTTAGTGTTCTGAATTACTGGCAGATTTACTCTATGTCACTAAAACAGAAAATGAAAATCTTGATAAGTGTATGCGAAGGCAGCAAAATAGAGGTACTCTCTCCCATGATGGCTGACAGGAGGAAATCAGTCTCCCAGAATTATAGTTACCTTTTAATGTTTCCCACCCAAATGCTCTTTTAAAAAATCTTTTTAAGGGAAGCTATTAGAAGTTGAAATATTATTGTTTCAGGATTCTAAAGAAATATCTAGAGAACTATTATTCCTTCCAGAAGGAATAGGATTTGACCACTTTCACAAAATAGGCCAGGAAAATCTATGATGTGGAGCCTGTAGGCACAATTTCCTATATCAGTGGACAGCTACTAGTCACTAGCTCAAAGTTAAAAGTCATTGTGTATTGCAATTTAAGAGGCAGTTTGTAGTGATTCTTTGAGGTAGCCTAATCATGTGAGGGCGTAATTTGATGCTGGAAAATCAGTCTCCATAAATGCCGTGTATAGAGCACTTTAAATGAACTTAATTTTATGCAGACTATTGAAAATATTGAATGAAATTCAACTTGATCATTTACATGAGTTAAAATAAGTAAGTAAAAGTGGTTTGGGGACCTTTTAGTATAGTAACTGATAAGCTAACCTATTTGTTTATAGTTTCACTCCCTTAACTTTGCTCCCTTATTTCTCTATGTAAATTAAATCTGATAATTGAGAGGATTATTCATTTCTTCTTTAATCAGAATCATATCTATTGGAGAGAGCCCTTGTAGAACTTCTGAAAAGATCCTTTCATCTATTTCTTGCCATTTAATTTCAAAATGTTATCTCTTTACATAGGACTTGGAAACACTTTGAGTTCAAGTATCAAAGGAAATAAGATAGTCCTCCAGGAGTCAAAGAGCAAATTCCAAGGAGAAATGGCAAAAAGGCAAGTTTTAGAATTTTGGTTTGGAATACTTTACAACTGTATATCCTTCTGACACATAATTGGAGATGGGGATTGAATTATTAGATGTCAAAGAAACTATAAGGTATTAGCCAGCCTGAAACCTCTTATTTTTAGAACTGTGTTTCTCAAAGTGCTATTGACAAACCACCTACTTCAAAAGTATTAAAATATATTAAAAATGCACATTCCTGGGCCCTACAGTAGTAGACTTACCAAATCATGGTCTCTGGGGCTGGAGCCCAGGAATTTTTACTTTTCAAAGGACTTGAAAACTGAATCGTAGTTTGACAGGTAGAAAAGAAGAGGATAAGGCATTCCTGGTAGAAGAAGCATGTGTAAAGGTATAAGGCCTGAGAAGGTATCTTATGCTCAAGGGTCAGTAAAGCATCAGTAGAGCCACAGCATTAAGGCTGAGTGCTGAGGTCTGATTCTAAAAAGCCTTGAATGCTGTATTTAGACAACTTAACTGTATCCTGTAGAAGGTGGTTAAAAACTCATACTACCTTCAGGATTTGGTGGGCCAAAGGCAACTGAAGAGTGTCCCATATAAAAAGGCACAACTGTGGAGATACCACAATTCTAAATTTCGAGATTACTACAAAGCTACAGTAATCAAAATAGTATGGTACTGACACAAAAATAGACACTGGACCACTTTTTTACACCATACACAAAAATAAACTCAAAATGGATTAAAGACCCAAGTATAAGACTTGAAACCATAAAACTCCTAAAAGAAAATATAGGTGGTAATTTCTTTGACATTGATTCTAGCAACATGTTTATGGCTATGTCTCCTAAGGCAAGGGAAACAAAAACAAAAATAAACTATTTGGAACTAGACCAAAATAAAAAGCTTTTGCATAGCAAAGGATACCATGAACAAAACAAAAAGACAATCTACTGAATGGGAGAAGCTATTTGCAAATAATATATCCAATAAGGGATAAATTTCCAAAATAAATGAAGAATTTATACAATACACACCAAAAAACCAATTTGATTAAAAAATGGAAAGAGGACCTTAATAAGCATTTTTCCAAAGAAGACATACATATGGCCCACAAACACATGAAAAGATCTCAACATCACTAATTATCAGGGAAATGCAAATTGAAACCATGAGATGTTACTTCATGCAAACCAGAAAGGCTAGTATCAAAAAGACAAGAAATGGTAAGTGTTAGTGGAGGATGTAGTGAAAAGGGAACACTCGTACACTGTGAGGCGGGGAATGTAAATTGGTGCAACCACTGTGGAAAACAGTATGGAGTTCCCTCAAAAAATTAGAAGTAGATCTACCCTGCAATCTAGTAATTCCACTACTGTGTATTTACCCAAAGAAAACAAAAACACTAATTTGAGAAGATATATGCACCCCTGTATTTTTGCAGCATTATTTACAATAGCCAAGATATAGAAGCACTCCAAGTTGTGGATAGAAATAGATGAATGACTAAAGTTGTGAGCTATATGTATATCTAATACTACTCAGCCATAAAAGAGAATGAAATCTTGCCATTTGGAATGACATAGGTGGATCTAGAGAATATTGTGCTAAGTAAAATAAGCCAGACATGTGATTTCACTTAGATCTGAAATCTAATAAAACAAAGCAAATGAGCAAAAAACACAAAAACAGACTCTTAAATACAGAGAACAAACTGATGGTTACCAGAGGAGTGGTGGTTTAGATCAAGAGTCGCATGTTCTACCCACTGAGCTGTTTTAAACAGGTGCCTCAAGTTGAACATTTTTAAAATTACTATTTTCTTTTTCAAATGTCTATATGTCCTATATTTTCAGATAACATCTTCATCTACCCACTTGCCACTTATTTTTCCCTCTTCCTTGACTATTGTATCCTAATTATTGCTAAATCTAGTATGTGCCATGAATTGTTTCAAAAATCCAACTCTACCTCTCAGTTTCCATTACCTCTGCTCTAGTTTAGCCTCACCATAGGCTGCATCTTGTACTGGCCACAATGTCTCTTGTGGTCCCACCTTCTGCAACTCATTCTATATATATCATATCACTATATATAATCTACAAATCACTAGAATAATTTTTGTCTTATCAAATTGTTTATCCTGTGCTTAAGTATCTTGGAAAGCTTCCTACTGCTTACATGGACATCAAAAACTAGGTTACAGCTGGAGAGTGGCTATAGACTGTATCACATTTTATTTTATTTTATTTACTTATCTTAAAGATTTTATTTATTTATTTTTGCAGGAGAGAGAGTGAGAGAGCAAGCATACCACTGGGGGGAGGGGCAGAGGGAGAAGCAGACTCCCTGTTGAGCAGGGAACCCGATGTGGGACTCCATCCCGGGACTCTGGAATCATGACCTGAGCTGAAGGCAGACGCTTAACAGGGCACCCAACTGTATTACATTTTTAAAAATTAGTTCTTAAAATTTAGAAGTCAGGAGATGTCACATCAGATTTTAGATTTCTAGGTTTTTTTTTTTAATCAGAATATTTGACAATACTAATTTATTTCTTACACAGCAACAACTGCTTAGAGCTGAGTAGTGGTTGATTCTTTTATTTATTTTTATTTTACTTTTTATTCTTGAAGCATGACTGACATGCAATGTTATATTAACTTCAGGTATACAACTTACTGATTCAGCAATTTTATACACTACTCAAGGCTCACAACAATAAGTGTAGTTAGTCACCATCTGTCACCACACAATGCCATTACAATATTATTGACTATATCCCTGTGCTGTAATTTTCAGCTCTGTGACTTATTTATTTTACAAGTGGAAGTTTGTACATCTTAATCCTCTTTATCTATTTTGCCAATCACTACTCCTCTGGTTATTCTCCTAGTTTAAAATATGAGAAATTTGTGGTATCTTTTGGTATTTTTGTTATTACTTAGTCATTTTACTGATTATTGGCATGACAGAATCACAGATTTCAGAGAATTCCAGAGCTGCAAGGTGCTTAATAATAAGCATCATTTAGTGTTCCCATCACCAGATGCGTGAATCACCATCCAACATCACTGGCCAGTATTCATGCCATCTCTACCAAGACAGCTCTAGTAACCAGGAGCTCATTCACTCCAACATGCTTGTTCCATATTTGGGTCTCTCAGACCATTCAATAGCTTTTAAGACTATTTGCCTAAATTTTGTCTTCTTACTATTTCCATTCATTGGTTCTAACTTTGAGTCATACAGAATAAACAGATTAGAAGCATCAAAGGAGAACAAAGCTGTGGGTGTAAAGAAGCAAAAAAATTGAGTAGGAAGTAGAAAGATACAAGTAGGAAAATAACAAAGCACATAGACAGTTTTGTGGGCCATATCTTTAGAAACTATAAATAATTTATGGAGAGTTTAAAAGTAATGAACAGAAGATAAGTGGATTTAAAAAGGAATCCTTATCAAGAAGCCTCTAAAGAAAAATTGTGCCAGAAGTTGATACTGAAAAGAAGGCCTGTAGGACCTGAAGATTTGGAGTGGAAAGGAGTCATGCTTTTCATTTTATACCCCTTTTTACTATTTTGATTTGTCTTTAATCAAAGACAAAAAGATTCAATCCTCTCAATATATGTACTTCTCTACTCTACTACTTGCACCCACTGCTTTTTACTCCTATTTTAGCCTATAAGTGTCAACTTAAATTGTCACCTCCTCAGAGAGACATGCATTCATAACCACCTTTTGAAGTGTGTTTGTGTCTCCACACTATTTCCTGTAATATTACTCAATTTCCTTCATATCACTTCAGGATCTATAATTATGTATATTTATTATTTACTCATTGTCTGCTCCTCTACTAGATGATAACTCCCTGAGGATTTGTTTACCTCTTTATACCTAGCTCTTAGTACAATATCTGGCATATGGTAGTGAATAATAAATGTTTTTTAATGAATGAATTTAATACAGAAGATTGAAGGTGAATTTTAGTGTAGTTTTACATAAGAAGATAAGTCAAGTTATCTCTCTACAGTGAGATTGGAAGGGAAAGGAGATTAAAAGTTAAGCAAAGTGGGATTTAGAAAAGATTTACAGACTGCTAGGTAATAGAAAATTAAGCATAAGACTCAATTTTAAAGAAAATTACTGAATGATTACCTCTGTAGGCTTTTAAAAATAGTATTCTTATCTAATTTGGAATATAGTAATTGGTGTTTTGTCTAAAGGAAAGGAGCTACACCAAATTTTCCATGAGTCTAAAAAACAGCATAATTTTTAGTAATGAATATGGTAAAATTTAATATTCCCCAAAGAATCACTATTCATCTAAATTAAAATGGTTTGTTTCTCCTCTTTGCCATATTTTACAAATGATTAATTTTTATTTTTAGTTTTGTTTCATCGCCTGAGAAGCCAGATGTTTATTTATCAAATTCTCCTGTGTTCAAGTTTGATGCATCCTCCATGAAAAAATCACCTCAACAAGCTGGAAATGCAAATATTGTAAGAAGCACTTCATTGTTTTTCTTTTAAATTCTGTCTGAATAGTTAAACTTTCAAAGATTGCCTTTTTTTTCTGTTAATCTCAAAATATAGGTCCATTTACAAGAAAGAGAACAACAAAGCCTGTCACCAGAAATTGAAAAGCTGTGCTTTACTCACTCTGAAAAAATACCAAATTCTTCACATTTTGTTAAGAAAGTGGATTTCTTTATTAGAAACAGTGAATGTAAAGAGGAAGTTGATATCAGGTAAGAATTCTTTAAAGACATTTCAAGACTATGCCAATGAAAACTTTCTATGAAGAAATTCAGTATTCTTTTTTCCTTGGTTTATTTTGTTTTATTTTATTATAGGGATAGAGAATGAGAGAGAGGGGATGGGAGGGGCAGAGGTAGAGGAAGAGAGAGAATCTCAAGCAGGCCCCATGCCTCGCTTGGAGTTTATTTGGAGCTCCATCTCATGACCCTGAGATCATGATCTGAGTTGAAATCAAGAGTGAACTACCCTGGTGCCCCTTTCCTTGGTTTATTTTAAAGATCAAAATCTAAACATTTTATTTACTTAAAAACATTGAATATTTAGACCCCTGGTGACCTAAACTCCTTAAAATAATTCATAATTTTAACTATCTCAATTTTTGAGAACATATGTTTAATATCTTTAATTAAAACATACTGTATTACTAAACTTTGTTTCACTGATTTGAATACAAGATGTTGATAATATAAAGTGTAAAATCACTTAAATCCAAATGAGATTGGCTAATTTTTCAGATGTTCAAGTTGTATTTTAGCCAACCAGTTCTTATACAATTCTGCAGGTTCAATGAAAAGTCAGATTAAGTCTACTCAGTTCCCCATCAGCTGGTCACTTCTAGGAGTAACTGTAGAATTTTCTGTCTTTCCCCTTGAATAGTCAAAGTTTATAGACTTGTTCACACACTGATTAAATGACATTACTTTTTAAAAACCTTAAGGAAATACCTAAGAGACTTGATCCCTACTTCTCACAGTTTATGAAGTCTGATTTTCCCCCATGGACTTATTACTAGGTAATACATATTGAAGTTCATTTGATACATTAATATCTCAGCAATCTAGATAGATTTCTGTACTTGCTTTTCCCCCTCCAGTAGGTATCATCCTGATGATGAAGCTGATGAAATGAAGTCTTTTCTGGGAATATTTGATGGTATTTTCTAAAAGAAACCAAAAAATTCATCTCCTATTAATAAGATAAGGTATATAGACACCCAATTACAAAGCATGCATTTTATTTTTTTAAAGTAGTTTATAATTGTTCAAATGTTTTTTTCTTGAATTTGACCAGTTTTGTTGACTTATTTGCACCAAATTTTTGGATTGATTTATTTTCCTATTGGAGCTTCATGAAAAACACTTTTATAGTGGATTTGTTTCAGTAAGCTAAAAATTAAATTGCACTTAAATGTATCTTGATTGGATTTTGACAGGAACCAATAAAAGTACATTTTTATATTAAGAAATTCTATGAAAACAAAATAATGTTAGGTCAGTGGATCAATTTATTATATGGATTATTCACCAATATTGTTTCGTTTTACTAAAGATTTTTAAGAATCCAGTGGCTGTCTGAACCTGTTGTTTTATATAACTTTAAATAATAATAAATGAAACATTAATCAATATAGATTGTTGTTTTCCTTTGGCTTGTTTTCCAGTGTGGTGAATTCTAAAACCTTGTTACATTGACTTTTACTGTGGCAAACACTATTTCATGTTATTCTCCCATGAATTTGTTCTCAAATTTATTTATATTTATTGGTAAGTAGTATAGAGGCGGTCTAAGCAATGTTTATTATTTAATTTATTTATAGATACAGGGGAAGTTGAAGCCCACTTAAATTTTAGGAATCTTTCTTTAAGCATAAGAGCCTTAGAGACAAGAGATGTAAAGAAGAGAAACTTCCAGACAAGGTTGTCATTGTTGTCATTGGTAAACATTTGTGAAGCATCATATGTATTAAGCATGGAGAAAAAGCTTAAAACAAAACTAAGAAGCTTTATTATGTGTTGAAAAAGAAGGGCAACCGGTTCTTTTATTTTAGTCATCTTTACAATTGGCATGATTCTGCATCTGAATCAATCATGCTACAACCTTTAAAGGTTATTAAACACCATTAAAATGAAAAATTGGCGCACTACAATCTGCTCATCTTGCATACATAGACTTTGACACTAAAGAAATAGCAATTTAATTCAGCAAGACTTATTATGATCTGCTAAGCAAAAAGCACTGTGCTTGGTACTGCAAAGGAGGCAAATGATGAAACACTGTTTTGCTCTCATGGAGCCTACTTTACATTCTGGTAGAGAAAATAAGACATATAATAATGCAATAATAAAATATAGAATACATTAGAGAAGTGGTTTTCAAACTTCAGGATGTATTGCAGTCATCTAGAGGGCTTGTTTGAAAACAGATTGTTGGGCACCAAACTCAAGGTTTCTGACTCTGTAGGTCTGGGGTTGGGCCTGTGAAGGTGCATTTCTAACAAGTGCCCAAGTAATACTGATACTGATGGTCGGGGATCACACCTTGAGAATCACTGCAATAGAGGTTTAAAAGAGCTCTTGGAGTTCATAGGACAGTGAACATAATCCTGACCATAGAGTCAGGGAAACCTTTATAGAGAAGTTAAAATTTAAGCTAAGTCTTGAAAGATGAATACAATTTTAATGAACAAGTATATGAGAGAAGGACATTCTAACAGAGGGAAGAGCTTGAGCAAGCTCCAACGAAGGGAAGTATCTATTTGGGGAATAATGATTAGATAATTTTTTTTAAAGATTTTATTTATTTATTTGACAGAGATCACAAGCAGACAGAGAAGCAGGCAGAGAGAGAGGAGGGAGTAAGCTCCCCGCTAAGCAGAGAGCCCAATTGGGGGTTCGATCCCAGAACCCTGGGATCACGACCTGAGCCGAAGGCAGAGGCTTTAACCCACTAAGCCACCCAGGCGCCCCAGGAATAGATAATTTTAAACATATGTTAATGTTGTAGGAGATTTTTGTGTTTTGTTGTTTTTAAGATTTCATTTATTTGAAAGAGAGAGTACAAGGGGGGGTGGGGGGGACCAGGGAGGGGCAAAAGGAGAGGGAGAAGCAGATTCCCCACTGAGCAGGGAGCCTGACATAGGCCTTGATCCAGGACTCTGAGATCAGGATGTGAGCTGAAAGCAGACACTTAGCCAACTGAGGCTTGATCCAGGACTCTAAGGTCAGGACCTGAGTTGAAAGCAGAGGAGCTTGTTCAGCTAAGCCACCCAGGTACCCCTGTAGGAGATGTGCACCTTAAGGTCAGACTGTGGAAGACTTTATATGCTAAGAAACTTGAGCTTTACTCGGCAGACAAATGTTTCCCAAACTTGCCTGATCATAAGAAATGTGGATAATATATTAAATATAAAAATTCTTAGACCTTACCTAAGGGCTACTGATTCAGAATTGCCAAGCAGAGGGGAGTGGGAATCTTATAGTTAACAAGATTCCAGGTTACTCTTTATCAGGCCAATTTGGAAACACATGAGTATGTTCATTTCCTGAGGAGTCAAAACAAATGGCAAATTAAGTTTTATCATAGACTTGCCTTACTTTGTATAAGTGTTTACCTAGAAAATTATGTGTAGTAGTCCTTAAGGAATGGACTGATTACTTGAAGGAATTCAGTCATTGGATATTCTTTCCATGAGTGAATAACCCTGCAGTTTCCATTTTGTAGCTGACATTTTAAGTGTATTTAAATGAACCATGCAACAAAGCTTTCCACAGAAATCTTTGTTAGGTTCAATTTTTTTCAACAGGTTTGGGTTTTGTTGTTGTAGTTTTGTTTTTTTCCAATTATAAAGGTCTTTAATAGGGTGCCTGGGTGGCTCCTTCTGCCTCTCCCCCTGCTTATACTTTCTCTGTCTCTCACACATGAATCAATAAAATCTTAAAAATATATTAAAATAAAACCAAAGGTCCTTAATAGGCTGTCTTTTTCTCACCTCTATTGTTGACATAATGGCACTTTACCTCATAAGTATGGGGCGGGACTTGAATAAGCCACTGCATAGAAAGCTCTTAGTTTAGGGACTGATGCATAAAATATGCTCATAAATGGTAGTTGTTCATACTAAAAAAAAAACTATCTTTAGCAGTACTTTAACTCATTGGAAGGGGTGAACTAATACAATACAGACTGTCCCTAACTTACAGTGTTTGGACTTAAAGTTTTTCAGCTTTATGATGGTGTGAAAGTGATATGCATTCAACTCAAACCATTCTTCAACTGTGAACTTTCTTTTCCAGGCTAGTCATATGCATAGGCTACTCTGTTTTGATGCTGGGAAGCAGCAGGGAGCCGCACCTACCAGTCAGCCACAGGACCATAAGGGTACACAACCCATACACTGACAACCATTCTGTACCCATACAACCAATCTGGGGTTTTTTTTGTTTGTTTGTTTTTTGTTTTACTTTCAGTACAGTATTCAATAAAGTACGTGAAATATTCAACACTTTATTATAAAGTTGGCTTTGTGTGACATGATTTTGCCCAACTATAGGCTAATGTAGTTGTTCTGAGCACGTTTAAGGGAGGCTAGGCTAAGCTATGATGTTCTGTAGGTTGGATATATTAAATGCATTTTTGGCTTATTGGTATTTTCAACTTAATGTGGGTTTATTAGGATATAACCTCATCATAAGTGTAAGTCAAGGAAAATCTTTCCTTGCAAATTGTATTTGAACTGCAGTAAGTTGCATAGGACTTGACAAATTAACTTTTTGACTTTCCATAGATGTATCATCCATAGAAAAAATTTTCTCTTAGACCTCCCTCCTATGTATACTTCCTCATGCTTTCAGGTAGATTGCTCTACCTCTGTTCCCTCTTAAAGCACTCTTAGTTCTTTTATGGTCGGATCATATTAATCTATTTTAATATTACCTTAAGTAAAATGTAAGTAGAAAATAAAGCTTTCGCAAATTGTATTATAATGCATTCTAAAGCCAAATAGAAATGATTGCTGACTTATTCACTGTTTGAGGTTTTTGCACACTTTACTCCTTGGATCCTTAGTAAAGTCACACAAAGTATCTCTTTATCATGACCCCATTTCTAGAAAACACCCTCATCAAGGATAGTAGGAAACCACTCCTTGACGACCCACAGCCTAGGGATTACATGGCTAACAGTTACCTGTAGCATCTTAGATCATAATAGGTGTCTATATTTAAGAACGCCTACTTTTGTGGGAATAGAGAAGACACCAGTGAGCAGAAAGTTGGGGCAAAGAAAAGAAAACCAAGCTAAGCTTAGAATTGAGTAAGCTAAGAATTTCATTGTGGGTTTTGGTTAGTGGAACAAATAAAACAAAAAGAAAGGGAAACCCTGGTTTTTCTTATCTTTTAGCATGTCAATTCCTGACTGCCAGGAGTTAAAGGCCTTGCCATTCAGGCTCTGACCCAGGACCAGTAATACAAGAAACTCCTTGGAGCTAGGTTTAGAAGTTCTTAGGCCTCAGTCCAGAACTTGTGAGTCAGAATCTGCATTTTAACAAGATTCCGGGCTGATTACATGCATGTTAAAGAGTGAGAACCACTTTTTTTAAGGTAGAAAGGAGAGGAAAGGAAGCAATATCAGAATTTGTAAGAGAATCCATTCCAGAAGACAAGTATAAGAGTAATTATGATTACTTGGTTTTCTGCACATATATTTCCTATTTTAAATGTAATATGGTGATATCGCTCTTGTTTAATTGCCTTTCAGTATAGGTTGTTTTCTTCACCAACTGTGTAAATTATCTTTATAATTCCCATGCATCAACTGGGTATTTTTTATGTAGCCTGAGAGGCACTTAGATGCTCTATAGAGTTTTGTTTTAATTAACATAATAAGAGCCAATAATTCAAAAGAGCTATCTTTGTCTTGCTTATTTTCACATTTCAATTCGGAAACCTTTCCCTAAACTAACATATGCCTTAAAACTCCAGACATACTTCAGCAAAACAGAATGAAACAAAAAACCCAAACCCCATAGTGTTCTGAAAATTTTGGAAAAATGTGCATAAACCTGCACTCATGTGTGTTGTAACTATACATTTTTTTAATCAAAAAAGGAATGAAAATTCAGCCAATATTAGCATTTTGCACACTGAAGCACATCCTTATGACAGTAGATGGCT